CCTAAACCGTGGGGTTTCGGACGGCCACAGGTTGGGGGGCCCGTTTGAAGCCCTACTCCCGAAAGCCCTAAACGGCTAAGCCCTAGTCCTTAAACCCAGCGAAAAAAACCCTAAACCCTAAACCCTCAACCTCTGAGACCCTTGCCCCAGACCCTAAACCCTAAACCCTAAACCCTAAACCCTAAACCCTAAACCCTAAGCCTAAATCGTAGGAAAGTAACTGAGAGCCGGCTTGTGATAGATCTGCATGATCCTGTGGCCTTGGGAATCCCGCCTCTGAAGAGTAAGGGGGCCTTCCTAATGAGAGGAGTATACATTATAGGAGTATACATTATAGGAATATGTATATGTATATATATATACATATGTGTCTGTATATATATATATACATACTCTAGGAGTTCATATTATAGTGTCATTACATAGGATCTTTAAGGGAATGTTGTTGCATGAGAAGAAGCACAGAATTTGAGGGTCGAGGGCAGAATGCCTTGACCTGCATTCCAAGCCTCAAGCCGTAAGGCGCGAAGGGCAGGATTTCTGTTTGCCACAGCCCGAAAGTGAACACCAGAATCGCCGCGTAGCACTAGGACGTCTTGACTGGCACCAGACCACAAGCGCAGAAAGGGAATGGCTTTAGAGCTGGGAAACTTCATGGGACGTCCTCTTCGAGTGTATAGTGCTACTTTCGCTTTTGGCCCATAGACCCTAAACCCTAAAACCCCCAACTTTGTGCTCCAGAAAGTGGGCAAACATGCTGTATGGAATATCGCCGATCCCTACTATAGATTTAATATCATTCAACAGTAGAATAGTGTTTAGGGCTCCTTATGATCTTAAGATTATATAACAACATACACCCAAAGCCCCAGCATAATTATTGAGGCCCACATAAACTACACCCCACGAGTCACTCCATGATCTGTTCTATTTTCGTTAGCAAGGCGCAGTGTGCATTCACGATAGTGGTTGTGCGCTTTGAGGGTCAGGGCCCCAAAACCCTAAACCCTGCACCTGGGGGCCTTGCCGCGATGATGCTAGTCAAGGTTGTACATGGTCGTGCTTGAGTGTAGTACCAGCACGAAACGTCGTGAAGCAACTTATGCATGAAACGCTGTGGAGGCCTGTCAGGCACTTTCCGATCATGTTGCACGTCGTTCGTGAGTATGGAGCATACCCCCTGTTGTCATCGCGGATTGAACCCTGAATGGCTTCACTGCTCAAGTACCATGTAGGAACGGCTTGATTGGTACACGGGAGCGTTTTGTGAAGCCGGTCCCATTCGTCTTTGTGGTGGTCTTCATAAAATCGTAGTCGCAGCAGCAGTGGCAGCGGCAGCTATGGCTGTCGTACGGCGAGCGGTGCCAGCTGTAGGCGCTGCAGCAGAAGCAGTAGCACATCGCATAATAAGAGCTTCGAGAGTACCATCGTCCATGCACGGATAGTCTTAATTGTGGGGCATTAAAATGCATAGCATGATGAAAGAACGTACAACATAACCCGTACGTCGGGGTTTAAGGTTCGGGGCTTCGGGTTTTAAACCTGCCGCTTTCTCCGGGGAGCTTCGGCAGAGCCATGTGCGCCTCATGCGGCGCGTTTCTGCGGCGCGTCGTGTGGTTCTGCGCGCTGTGCGCTGTCAGAGCCACGGAATCTTGGAGGAGACTAAGTTAAGGGTTTGAGGGTTTAGGAAGTTTAGGGTTTAGGGTTTTAGGGTTTAGGGTTTGAGGGTTTAGGGTTTAGGATTTGAGGGTCTAGGGCTTAAAGTTAAGTTTTGAGGGTTTAGGGTGGAGGTCACTGTTAAGGGTCGTGATAGGTTTTTAGCTATATGGTTGTATATGCAAGAGTTGTACGGGGTCGGTAGGGTTTTATTATAGAGGTTCATAGTTACTCGTAAGTAGGGCCTTTCTTAAAGGCAACACTGGCTCGAAGTATTTGTAGCTGCGGTTGAAGTGCCTGTAACCTTACTTGTTACAACCATATACAAGCCCATTCCAAACTCTTTAAACAATATGCCTCTAAACCCCCCACCTGTAGCCCTCGGCCCTAAACCCAAAATCCGAAACCTTCAATCCGGATAAAGAGTGACCTCGACAGAAAAACTGTAACGCCGAACTCGCAACAAGTAGTAACATCATTCTTGTAATGAGTTCAAATTGCTGTAAGGTAGTCAGTCCTCAAACTCCCTTCAACGTAGATGGGCGCTTGTGTTGACCTGAAGCACTGAACGTAAGGAGGATGCCCGCTCAAACCCGAAACCCTACACCCCCAAGCCGTGAACCCTCAAACCCTAAACCCTAAACCCCCAGACCCTAAGTAAGCCCTCAGACCCCAAACCCTCAGACCCTCAACCCTAAACCCTCAGACCCTCAACCCTAAACCCTCAGACCCTGACCCCAAATCAAACCCTAAACCGAGAGACACAGGCCAAGGAGTTCCCCTTGTCAAGTACATTAAGAAGCTCAAAGGATCTCAAAAGGGGCAGGCTAGGGTTGATGATAATAATCCTGGCTTACCCCCTAATAAGGAATATGCCATAATTCCCATAGTTTAGGGCCCTTAAGGATATGCAGGATTTATATCATCAACAGTAGTCTTGAAATATGTCCTTGTTCCTGCCCTGCGTGGCGGCCTAGAAACTACATAAGAGACTTGGAGCTGAGAGTGTAGGGTTTAGGCTTTGGCGTTTTGGGTTTTCGGGGTTTAGGGGTTTTGGGGTTAAGGGTTTGGCGTTTTGTGGTTAAGGGGTTTAGGGTTTGGGGTTTGGGGTTTTGGGGTTCAGGGACGGGGTTTAGGGTTCCCTCAGACAGAGAAGCAGAACTGTAAAGGGCCACAGTACTGCGAACTTCTGAACCTTGTGGTACGACATTCCGAAATCCACGAATGCCCAGAGAACCCAATACCGCTTGATTAAGGAATATACCTCAAATTTATAGGGGCCTGAATATTATGATTTAAGGTATATTCCTTAATTGAGGGGTATTGGGTTCTCTGGGCCTAAGCCGTCCTGAGCCCCAAACCCTAAACCCCAAACCCTAAACCCCAAACCCCTAAACCCTTAAATCCTAAACTCTAAACCCTAAACCCTAAAACCCCAAACCCTAATGGGTGCTCAGGCCGGATCCATGCCAAAGAGCGCCGGATCCATGCCAACGAGCGTCGGGTCCATGCCGAAAAGTGTCAAAGCAGTTCGGAGCTCAGAAGGGTTTTGCGGCACCGCAAGGGCTGCAGAATCACGATGTCCTCGGGCCTGACGCGACAGAAATCGAGAGCTGCCTGATCAGTTTTGGACCGGTGACCCTAAACCCTAAACCTTCTGGCCCCTGGCTGCTAGAAGCTTTCTGGATAGTCTCTCGCCCCATTCCATCCTAGCGAATTTTCCCCCTTCGCCGCGATGGCCAAAGTCGTTTGCGTCACCGGCTGCACCGGGTACGTGGCCTCCGAGGTTCGGACCTCAAAGGGTCGGATGAAGGCTTTATAAGGGTTTAGGGCTTTTTATAGGGGTTTGGGGGTTTAGGGGTTTTAGGACTTAGGGCTTGAGGGTTTAGAGGTTTTAGGGGTTTAGGACTTAGGGCTTTAGCGTTTAGGGCTTTAGGGTTTAAAGGGTCCAAGTACTGATATAGTAAGTTCGTAGTAGCTACTTGGGCTCTCAAAGTCAAAGTACATACCATACGCTTACTTGGACCCTTCGGGTAGGTAGGATTGAGAAACCCTAAACCCTAAAC